CGGGACACGAGGCGCGCCAAGCAGCAGCCGACAAGCAACAAGGAAGGCAAGGAAGGCGAAGGACACAGCAGGAAGGGAAACGGCGGGAGAGGAAGAGAGCAGCAAAACGAGACAGAGGAAAGGGAGCCAGCGGGGGGAAGGGCAACAAGCACAACAGCGGGCCGGCGAGAGCGGAAGGCGAAACCAAACACAAAAGCCAGGGAAAGAGCAAGGAAGGGGGAGGGGAGGGGGGGGGAAGGAGCACAAGGAGGAACAGAAGAGGCGACAGCGGGGCGGCGGGGGCCAAGGAAAAGAGCCAGGCAAAACAGCAGCACGCGGGGGAAAACCAAAGGGGCCGGGAGGGGGAAGCAACAAGGAAACCAGGGCCCAAAACAAAGCAAAAAGGGCAAGCCCAGGGACGGGGAACCAAAACCCCGGGAGCAGGGGGCCAGAAGAAGGGGGCAAAGGGGCCGGAGAACGGGCCAGGGAGGCCGGAGCGCGAGCAAAGAAAGGGGAGGAAAAGCAAAAGGAAGGAAGCGGGAGGGAGGGAGGCAAACAAAGGGCGAACACAGCGAGCAAGGAGGCAGGAAGAGAAACAGGGCAAAGAAAGCGAGAGAAGGAAGGCAGGCGGGGGAAGAAAAGGGAGGAGAAAGGGACGCCCCGGCCGGGCGCGGGCGGACGAGCCGGGGGAGGACCAAGAGAGGGGGCACGGGGACACCGGGGGCGGGGCCGGGCCACGGGAGCACGGAGGGGGGGCCCGGGGGGGGCGACAAACGGAGGGAGAGGAGGGGAGGGGGGAGGGCAAGGCCAAACAGGGAGGGGCCACGGGGCGCGCGGGAGGGCGGCCGGCGGGGAGGCGGGGGGAGAGCGGGCAGCAAGGGCAAGGGAAGGGCGGCGACGGGGGAGGAGACAAACGAGGCAAGACAGAGGGAACGCCAGGCAGGGGAAACACAGAAGGGGGCCGCAGGCCAGCAGAACGGAGGGGGCGGGCAAAAGGGCCAGGGGCGACCGAACAAGAGAGGAGCAGCCGGCAGGGGAAGAGGAGCACACAAGAGGGCAGCAGGAGGAACGGGGAAGAGAGAAAGGAAGAAGAGCCGGGGGGGACGCGAGCGGCGCCGGCAGCAGGGAACCAGGGCAAACAGAGAAGGAGGGGGAGGAGGAAGCAAAGGGAACGGAAGAAAGGGAACCAGAGCGGCACGAGCCACAGGGGGGCAACGGCGAGAAGCGAGGACCAGAGCACACGCAGGCGCCGGAAGGGACCGGGAGCAAAAAGAGAGGGCGCGGGGAGACGCAGCGGCGGGGAAGGGGGAACAGGCAAAACCGCCGGAACAACAACAGGAGGACGAGACGCACGAGCAACAGAGGGAGAAGCAGAAGCGAAAGGGAGGAAGGGGGCCGCCGCAACAGGGCAGGGGGGGGGCAAAAGGGGCACAAACCGCAGCCGCAGAGGGAGAGGCAAGACAAGAAGGAAAAGGGGCAGAGGGGGGGGGAGCGGAACGACCCGCGGGGAGGGCAAGCACGAGCGAGGGGGCCGCGCCCAGGACAGCGAGAACAAAGCAAGGCGCGAGCACGGGGAGGCCGCACGCCGCACGGACCGGGCCGGACCGGGGGCGCGGGAAGCAGCGCGGGGAGGAGGAGGGCAGCACGCCGGGGAGGGGGGGAACAAGGGGGGGCCAGCGGGAGCACCAGGGGGGGACGGGGACAGGGGCAGCGCGGGAGGGGGCCGCAGAGGCACGGGCCAGCAGACAAGGCAGCAGAAAGGGGGGCAGAGCGCGGAAGACGCAGGCCACAGCGAAGGGCGAAGGGCAAGCCAGGGACGAAACGAGCAACGAGGGGGGCGCGGCGGCAGGGAGGGCGCCCGGGGGAAGCAAAAGAGGGAGAGGGGGGGAGGACGCAGCAACGGACGGGGGCCGGGCACCGGGCCGGCAAGGGGCGGGCAAGAGCAGAGAAAAAGAGGGAGGACGAAAGGGGAGGCGCAGAGCGGCCCGCACGGGAACCCAAGAGGCAGAGGGAAGAAAAGGAGCAACGCGCGCGCGAGGGCGGGGGCGCCACCAAGAGAAGGCAGACCCCGGAAAAGAGGGAGCAACGAGCCGAAGGGGGGAAGAGCAGAAGAGGGCGGGAAAGAAAAAGAGGGGCAACAGCAGGCGCCCAGGCGAGGGAGGCGGGAGGGCCGGGCGCACCGGGGAAGGGAGGAAGGGCAGGGGGAAGGGGGCCGAACGCCGCAGGACGCGGGGGAGCCGGGACAGCGAGGAGCCACGCGCCGGCGGGGGGCAGCGGGGGCGCGCAGCAGGGTGGGGGGGGGCACGGGCGGGGAGCGGGGCGCCAAAGGAGGCAGGCGGGGGAGGAACCGGGCGAGCGGGGGGCGAAGGCGGGGGAAGGGGGGAACGGGAGCAGCCAGCGGGAGAGGAGAAACAAAAAGCGAAAAACAAGAAGAGGGGAGAGAGCAGGGGAGGGAAACCAAAAAGGGGCGCGCGCCCGCACGAGGCGCAGCGCGCAGGGAAGAGGGGGAGGAGAGGGCGCGGGGGGGGCACGACACACGCGGACAAACACACACGCCACGCGGGGAGCGCGCAAGGGGGCAGAGACGCGCACAAGCCGGGGCCAAAAAGGAAAAGGCGAGGCCGGAACGCAAGGGGAGAGGGAGGCAACCGCAAAGGGCAAGAAAACGGACCGGGGAAAACGGCACAAGCCGGGGAGAGGAAGGGGGAGCGCGAGAGAGGGAAGAAAAGGGAGAGCAAGAAGCAAAGAAAAAGGACAAGACGAGCAAAGAAACGAAAGAAGAGGGGAAAGAAAAAGGAAACCAAAGAAGGAAGGAGGGCAGAAAGAGAGGCAAGACCAAGAGCAACAAGAGAGAGACAAAGAGAAGGGAAGAGGGGGCAAGAGACCACAACCAAAGAGGAAGCGAGCAAGAACGCCGGCCAACCGGAGACGGGGCCCCGGCCGGGCCCGCCAAGAGGCGCCGACCAGACCAAGGCGGGCCCCAACCGGAGGCGGCGGCGGGGGCGGGCGCGGGGCGGGGGGGGCAACGGGCGGGAGGGGGGGGAGGGGGGGGAGAAGGAACCGCCAAAGAACGACGGGAAAGAGCAACAAAAAAGGGCGGACCAAGAGGAGCCACACAACCCCGGCAAAACAGAAGCAAGAAGGGCAAGAAGCACCCAGAAAAACAGAAACGCGGCCCGGACGGCGAAGAGCAAGAGCGCAAGGACCAGAAGGAAGGAGACAGGGGAGAAGAGAGCAAAAGAACGCCCAGAAGAGAGCGAAAACAGAGCAAAAGGGCAGAGAAAACGAACCGAGGGGAGCGCGAGATAGAGGGCAGGCGGGGAAACGGGGCACAGAACGCGGAAAGCGGGACAGGGGGGGAGGGCGACGGGAGGGCGCGGAAAGGCGCGGGGAGAGAGGGAAGGGGGAGAGGGGGGGGGGCGGACAGAAGAGGGGGAAGAGGGGGCGGAGGAGGGGGGAGGGCGCGGGAGAGGGGACGGGAAAAAGGGAAAACGACGGGCGGGAGGGGGGGCAAGAAACGGAGAGAACAGGGAGCAAGAGGCAAGAACACAAGCAAGAAGGCAAAAGGAAAAGGGGGGGGGGGGGGAAGGAAGAAGACACGAAAAAAGGAGGAGGGAAGAGAAGAACGAGAGAAACCGAGGGAACCAAAGAAACCAAAGGCGAAGGAGAAGGAGAGAAACCGAGGCGCGGAAGACCAAAGGGAGAGGAACCGAGGCCAAGGGGCAAAGAAAGAGGGAAGAGGGGCCCAAGAAGGCGCGCAAAGGAAAGAGAGAGAGGGAGCAAAAGACCGGAAACCGCACGAGAAACCCGGGGGCGCGAAGCCGCAAAGACGGGGAAGAAGCCCAGGGAGCGGCAAGGACCGCGAGGAGGCAAGCGGCAAGCAACGAGAGGCGGAGCGAGGGGCCGGCGAGGCAAGAACGAGGCCACGAACCGAAAGCGAAGGGGGAAGAAAGGAAGAGGGAGGCGAGGCCACGAAGCAAGGGGCGAGGCGAGGCCACGACGAGCCACGAAGGGAGGCCACAAGGAGCCAGAAGGGGCGGACACAAGGGGAAAGAAAAACGGAAGAAGGGGAGGGAAGGAAAGCCGCCGCAAAACGGAGAGGGAGGGGCCCGAGGGAGAGGGAGAGGGCAGCAGGGGAAGCGAAAGACAAGGGGAAAAAGAGGCCGAAACCGAAGCGAGAAAACAAGGAAAGAGAGGGGAGGGAGAAAAGGAGGGAAGGAAGCCGGGCGAAAGACAACGAGGGGGGCGCGGGAGGCCAAACAAGGGAAAGAAGGAGGACCAAAAAGAAGAGGGCGGAGGGGGCCGAAGGAAGCACCAAAAGCAGCACGGAAACAAGGAGAAAAAGCGGGAAGGGCGGCAGCGGGGCAAAGGGGCGGGACGGGGAGGGCCACCAGCGGGGAAGAGCACCAAGGAAGAGGGGCGGAAGGGGGGACGGGGCCGGGGGAGGGGCCCAAGGGGGACGCGGAGGGAGCGGCAGGAGGGGGGGCCGCAGCAGCCGCCCCGGCGGGAAAAGGAGGCGACCGCGAAGCGGGAAGCAGGGGCGGCGAGCCAGGAGAGCACGGGAAAGGGGCCACGAGAAGACGGGCCGCGAGCGAAGGGAAGGAGGAGGGGGCCGGGGGGGGCCACCAAGGAGGCGGGAAGGAGGGAGGGAGGGGCCGGGGGAGGAGCCCACGAGAGACCCGGAGGGGAGGCCAGGGGGACGGGGGCCGAGGAGGCGCCCAGGCGGGAAAAGGAGGCGGCCGCGAAGCCAAAGCGGCAAGGAAAGACAAAGGAGCAAGCGCACGGGCGGGGGAGCACGCGCAGGGAACGGGGCGGGGGAGGCGGGACACGAGGCGCGCCAAGCAGCAGCCGACAAGCAACAAGGAAGGCAAGGAAGGCGAAGGACACAGCAGGGAAGGGAAACAGGCGGGAGAGGGAAGAGAGGCAACAAAAGGAGACAGAGGAAAGGGAGCCAGCGGGGGGGAAGGGGCAACAAGCACAACAGCGGGCCGCCGAGAGCGGAAGGCGAAACCAAACACAAAAGCCAGGGAAAGAGCAAGGAAGGAGGGAGAGGGAGGGGGGGGGAAGGAGCACAAGGAGGAACAGAAGAGGCGACAGCGGGGGCGGCGGGGGCCAAGGAAAAGAGCCAGGCAAAACAGCAGCACGCGGGGGAAAACCAAAGGGGCCGGAGGGGAAGCAACAAGGAAACCAGGGCCCAAAACAAAGCAAAAAGGGCCAAGCCCAGGGACGGGGAACCAAAACCCCGGGAGCAAGGAGGAGGGCACAGAAGAAGGGGGCAAAGGGGCCGGAGAACGGCCAGGGAGGCCGGAGCGCGAGCAAAGAAAGGGGGAGGAAAAGCAAAAGGAAGGAAGCGCGGAGGGAGGGAGGCAAACAAAGGGCGAACACAGCGAGCAAGGAGGCAGGAAGAGAAACAGGGCAAAGCAAAGCGAGAGAAGGGAAGGCAGGCGGGGGAAAGAAAAGGGAGGAGAAAGGGACGCCCCGGCCGGGCGCGGGCGGACGAGCCGGGGGAGGGACCAAGAGAGGGGGCACGGGGACACCGGGGGCGGGGCCGGGCCACGGGAGCACGGAGGGGGGGCCCGGGGGGGGCGACAAACGGAGGGAGAGGAGGGGAGGGGGGAGGGCAAGGCCAAACAGGGAGGGGCCACGGGGCGCGCGGGAGGGCGGCCGGCGGGGAGGCGGGGGGAGAGCGGGCAGCAAGGGCAAGGGAAGGGCGGCGACGGGGGGAGGAGACAAACGAGGCAAGACAGAGGGAACGCCAGGCAGGGGAAACACAGAAGGGGGCCGCAGGCCAGCAGAACGGAGGGGCGGGCAAAGGGCAGGGGCGACCGAACAAGAGAGGAGCAGCCGGCAGGGGGAGAGGAGCACACAAGAGGGCAGCAGAGGAACGGGGAAGAGAGAAAGGAAGAAGAGCCGGGGGGGGACGCGAGCGGCGCCGGCAGCAGGGAACCAGGGCAAACAAGAAGGAGGGGGAGGAGGAAGCAAAGGGAACGGAAGAAAGGGAACCAGAGCGGCACGAGCCACAGGGGGGCAACGGCGAGAAGCGAGGACCAGAGCACAAGCAGGCGCGCGAAGGGACCCGGGAGCACAAAAGAGAGGGCGCGGGGAGACGCAGCGGCGGGGAAAGGGGGAACAGGCAAAACCGCCGGAACAACAACAGGAGGACGAGACGCACGAGCAACAGAGGGAGAAGCAGAAGCGAAAGGGAGGAAGGGGGCGCCCGCAACAGGGGCAGGGGGGGGGCAAAAGGGGCACAAACCGCAGCCGCAGAGGGAGAGGCAAGACAAGAAGGAAAGGGGCAGAGGGGGGGGGAGCGGAACGACCCGCGGGGGAGGGCAAGCACGAGCGAGGGGGCCGCGCCCAGGACAGCGAGAACAAAGCAAGGCGCGAGCAGGGGAGGCCGCACGGCCGCACGGACCGGGCCGGACCGGGGGCGCGGGAAGCAGCGCGGGGAGGAGGAGGGGCAGCACGCCGGGGAGGGGGGGAACAAGGGGGGGCCAGCGGGAGGCACCAGGGGGGGACGGGGACAGGGCAGCGCGGGAGGGGGCCGCAGAGGCACGGGCAGCAGACAAGGCAGCAGAAAGGGGGGCAGAGCGCGGAAGACGCAGGCCACAGCGAAGGGCGAAGGGCAAGCCAGGGACGAAACGAGCAACAGGGGGGGCGCGGCGGCAGGGAGGGCGCCCGGGGAAGCAAAAGAGGGAGAGGGGGGGGGACGCAGCAACGGACGGGGGCCGGGCACCGGGCCCGGCAAGGGGCGGGCAAGAGCAGAGAAAAAAGAGGGAGGACGAAAGGGGAGGCGCAGAGCGGCCCGCACGGGAACCCAAGAGGCAGAGGGAAGAAAAGGAGCAACGCGCGCGCGAGGGCGGGGCGCCACCAAGAGAAGGCAGACCCCGGAAAAGAGGGAGCAACGAGCCGAAGGGGGGAAGAGCAGAAGAGGGCGGGAAAGAAAAAAGAGGGGCAACAGCAGGCGCCCAGGCGAGGGAGGCGGGAGGGCCGGGCGCACCGGGGAAGGGAGGAAGGGCAGGGGAAGGGGGCCGAACGCCGCAGGACGCGGCGGGAGCCGGGGACAGCGAGGAGCCACGCGGCCGGCGGGGGGCAGGGGGCGCGCAGCAGGGGGGGGGGGGGCACGGGCGGGGAGCGGGGCGCCAAAGGAGGCAGGCGGGGGAGGAACCGGGCGAGCGGGGGGGCGAAGGCGGGGGAAGGGGGGAACGGGAGCAGCCAGCGGGAGAGGAAAAAAAAGAGCGAAAAAAAACAAGAAGAGGGGGAGGAAGCACGGGAGGGAAACCAAAAAGGGGGCGCGCGCCCGCACGAGGCGCAGCGCGCAGGGAAGAGGGGGAGGAGAGGGCGCGGGGGGGGCACGACACACGCGGACAAACACACACGCCACGCGGGGAGCGCGCAAGGGGCAGAGACGCGCACAAGCCGGGGGCCAAAAAGGAAAAGGCGAGGCCGGAACGCAAGGGGAGAGGGAGGCAACCGCAAAGGGCAAGAAAACGGACCGGGGAAGACGGCACAAGCCGGGGAGAGGAAGGGGGAGCGCGAGAGAGGGAAGAAAAGGGAGAGCAAGAAGCAAAGAAAAAGGACAAGACGAGCAAAGAAACGAAAGAAGAGGGGAAAGAAAAAGGAAACAAAGAAGGAAGGAGGGCAGAAAGAGAGGCAAGACCAAGAGCAAAAGAGAGAGACAAAGAGAAGAGAAAAGGGGGCACGGGGACCACAACCAAGAGGAAGCGAGCAAGAACGCCGGCCAACCGGAGACGGGGCCCCGGCCGGGGCCCGCCAAAAGGCGCCGACCAGCCAAAGGCGGGCCCCAACCGGAGGCGGCGGCGGGAGGGCGGGCGCGGGGGGGGGGGGGGGGCAACGGGCGGGAGGGGGGGGAGGGGGGGAGAAGGAACCGCCAAAGAACGACGGGAAAGAGCAACAAAAAGGGCGGACCAAGAGGAGCCACACAACCCCGGCAAAACAGAAGCAAGAAGGGCAAGAAGCACCCAGAAAAACAGAAACGCGGCCCGGACGGCGAAGAGCAAGAGCGCAAGGACCGGAAGGAAGGAGCAAGGGGAGAAGAGAGCAAGAGAACGCCCCAGAAGAGAGCGAAAACAGAGCAAAAGGGCAGAGAAAACGAACCAGGGGAGCGCGAGAGAGAGGGCAGGCGGGGAAACGGGGCACAGAACGCGGAAAGCGGGACAGGGGGGAGGGCGACGGGAGGGCGCGGAAAGGCGCGGGGGAGAGAGGGAAGGGGGAGAGGGGGGGGGGCGGACAGAAGAGGGGGAAGAGGGGGCGGAGGAGGGGGGAGGGCGCGGGGAGAGGGGACGGGAAAAAGGGAAAACGCGGGCGGGAGGGGGGGCAAGAAACGGGAGAACAGGGAGCAAGAGGCAAGAACACAAGCAAGAAGGCAAAGGAAAGGGGGGGGGGGGGGGAAGGAAGAAGACACGAAAAAAAGGAGGAGGGAAGAGAAGAACGAGAGAAACCGAGGGAACCAAAGAAACCAAAGGGCGAAGGAGAAGGAGAGAAACCGAGGCGCGGAAGACCAAAGGGAGAGGAACCGAGGCCAAGAGGCAAAGAAGAGGGAAGAGGGGCCCAAGAAGGCGCGCAAAGGAAAGAGAGAGAGGGAGCAAAAGACCGGAAACCGCACGAGAAACCCGGGGGCGCGAAGCCGCAAAGACGGGGAAGAAGCCCAGGGAGCGGCAAGGACCGCGAGGGGGCAAGCGGCAAGCAACGAGAGGCGGAGCGAGGGGCCGGCGAGGCAAGAACGAGGCCACGAACCGAAAGCGAAGGGGGAAGAAAGGAAGAGGGAGGCGAGGCCACGAAGCAAGGGGCGAGGCGAGGCCACGACGAGCCACGAAGGGAGGCCACAAGGAGCCAGAAGGGGGCGGACACAAGGGGAAAGAAAAACGGAAGAAGGGGAGGGAAGGAAAGCCGCCGAAAACGGAGAGGGAGGGGCCCGAGGGAGAGGGAGAGGGCAGCAGGGAAGCGAAAGACAAGGGGAAAAAGAGGCCGAAACCGAAGCGAGAAAACAAGGAAAGAGAGGGGAGGGAGAAAAGGAGGGAAGGAAGCCGGGCGAAAGACAACGAGGGGGGCGCGGGAGGCCAAACAAGGGAAAGGAAGGAGGACCAAAAAGAAGAGGGCGGAGGGGGGCCGAAGGGAAGCACCAAAAGCAGCACGGAAACAAGGAGAAAAAGCCGGGAGGCGGCGGCAGAGGGGCAAAGGGGCGGGACGGGGAGGGCCACCAGCGGGGAACAGCACCAAGGAAGAGGGGCGGAAGGGGGGGACGGGGGCCGGGGGAGGGGCCCAAGGGGACGCGGAAGGGAGCGGCAGGAGGGGGGGCCGCAGCAGCCGCCCCGGCGGGAAAAGGAGGCGACCGCGAAGCGGGGAAGCAGGGGCGGCGAGCCAGGAGAGCACGGGAAAGGGGCCACGAGAAGACGGGCCGCGAGCGAAGGGAAGGAGGAGGGGGCCGGGGGGGCGGCCACCAAGGAGGCGGGAAGGAGGGAGGGAGGGGCCGGGGGAGGAGCCCACGAGAGACCCGGAGGGGAGGCCAGGGGGACGGGGGCCGAGGAGGCGCCCAGGCGGGAAAAGGAGGCGGCCGCGAAGCCAAAGCGGCAAGGAAAGACAAAGGAGCAAGCGCACGGGCGGGGGAGCACGCGCAGGGAACGGGGCGGGGGAGGCGGGACACGAGGCGCGCCAAGCAGCAGCCGACAAGCAACAAGGAAGGCAAGGAAGGCGAAGGACACAGCAGGGAAGGGAAACAGGCGGGAGGGGAAGAAGGCAACAAAAGGAGACAGAGGAAAGGGAGGCCAGCGGGGGGAAGGGGCAACAAGCACAAAAGCGGGCCGCCGAGAGCGGAAGGCGAAACCAAACACAAAAGCCAGGGAAAGAGCAAGGAAGGAGGGAGAGGCAGGGGGGGGGAAGGAGCACAAGGAGGAACAGAAGAGGCGACAGCGGGGGCGGCGGGGGCCAAGGAAAAGAGCCAGGCAAAACAGCAGCACGCGGGGGAAAAGCCAAAGGGCCCGGAGGGGAAGCAACAAGGAAAGCAGGGCCCAAAACAAAGCAAAAAGGGCCAAGCCCAGGGACGGGGAACCAAAACCCCGGGAGCAAGGAGGAGGGCACAGAAGAAGGGGGCAAAGGGGCCGGAGAACGGCCAGGGAGGCCGGAGCGCGAGCAAAGAAAGGGGAGGAAAAGCAAAAGGAAGGAAGCGGGAGGGAGGGAGGCAAACAAAGGCGAACACAGCGAGCAAGGAGGCAGGAAGAGAAACAGGACAAACAAAGCGAGAGAAGGGGAAGGCAGGCGGGGAAAGAAAAGGGAGGAAAGAGGGACGCCCCGGCGGGCGCGGGCGGAAGAGCCGGGGAGGGACCAAGAGAGGGGGCACGGGGACACCGGGGGCGGGGCGGGCCACGGGAGCCACGGAGGGGGGCCCGGGGGGGCCGACAAACGAAGGGAGAGGACGGGGAGGGGGGAGGCCCAAGGCCAAACAGGGAGGGGCCACGGGGCGCGCGGGGAGGGCGGCCGGCGGGAAGGCGGGGGGAGAGCGGGCAGCAAGGCAAGGGAAGGGCGGCGACGGGGGAGGAGACAAACGAGGCAAGACAGAGGGAACGCCAGGCAGGGGAAACACAGAAAGGGGGCCGCAGGCCAGCAGAACGGAGGGGCGGCAAAGGGCAAGGGGCGACCGAACAAGAGAGGAGCAGCCGGCAGGGGGAGAGGAGCACACAAGAGGGCAGCAGAGGAACGGGGAAGAGAGAAAGGAAGAAGAGCGGGGGGGGACGCGAGCGGCGCCGACAGCAGGGAACCAGGGCAAACAAGAAGGAGGGGGAGGAGGAAGCAAAGGGAACGGGGAAGAAAGGGAACCAGAGCGGCCACGAGCCACAGGGGGGCAACGGCGAGAAGCGAGGACCAGAGCACAAGCAGGCGCGGAAGGGACCCGGGAGCGACAAAAGAGAGGGGCGCGGGGAGACGCAGCGGCGGGGAAAGGGGGAACAGGCAAAACCGCCGGAACAACAACAGGAGGACGAGACGCACGAGCAACAGAGGGAGAAGCAGAAAGCGAAAGGGAGGAAGGGGCGCCGCGCAACAGGGCAGGGGGGGGGCAAAAGGGGCACAGACCGCAGCCGCAGACGGAGAGGCAAGACAAGAAGGAAAAGGGGCAGAGGGGGGGGGGAGCGGAACGACCCGCGGGGGAGGGCAAGCACGAGCGAGGGGCCGCGCCCAGGACAGCGAGAACAAAAGCAAGGCGCGAGCAGGGGAGGCCGCACGGCCGCACGGACCGGGGCCGGACCGGGGCGCGGGAAGCAGCGCGGGAGGGAGGAGGGGCAGCACGCCGGGGAGGGGGGGAACAAGGGGGGGGCCAGCGGGAGGCCACCAGGGGGGACGGGACAGGGCAGCGCGGGGAGGGGGGCCGCAGAGGCACGGGCAGCAGACAAGGCAGCAGAAAGGGGGGCAGAGCGCGGAAGACGCAGGCCACAGCGAAGGGCGAAGGGCAAGCCAGGGACGAAACGAGCAACAGGGGGGGCGCGGCGGCAGGGAGGGCGCCCGGGGAAGCAAAAGAGGGAGAGGGGGGGGGACGCAGCAACGGACGGGGGCCGGGCACCGGGCCCGGCAAGGGGCGGGCAAGAGCAGAGAAAAAAGAGGGAGGACGAAAGGGGAGGCGCAGAGCGGCCCGCACGGGAACCCAAGAGGCAGAGGGAAGAAAAGGAGCAACGCGGCGCGCAGAGGGCGGGGGCGCCACCAAGAGAAGGCAGACCCCGGAAAAGAGGGAGCAACGAGCCGAAGGGGGGGAAGAGCAGAAGAGGGCGGGAAAGAAAAAAGAGGGGCAACAGCAGGCGCCCAGGCGAGGGAGGCGGGAGGGCCGGGCGCACCGGGGAAGGGAGGAAGGGCAGGGGAAGGGGGCCGAACGCCGCAGGACGCGGCGGGAGCCGGGACAGGAGGAGCACGCGGCCGACGGGGGGGCAGGGGCGCGCAGCAGGGGGGGGGGGGCACGGGCGGGGAGCGGGGCGCCAAAGGAGGCAGGCGGGGGAGGAACCGGGCGAGCGGGGGGGCGAAGGGCGGGGGGGGAACGGGGCAGCCAGCGGGAGAGGAAAAAAAAAGCGAAAAACAAGAAGAGGGGGGGAGGAAGCACGGGAGGGAAACCAAAAAGGGGGGCGCGCGCCCGCACGAGGCGCAGCGCGCGGGGAAGAGGGGGAGGAGAGGGCGCGGGGGGCACGACACACGCGGACAAACACACACGCCACGCGGGGAGCACGCAAGGGGCAGAGACGCGCACAAGCCGGGGGCCAAAAGGAAAAGGCGAGGCCGGGACGCAAGGGGAGAGGGAGGCAACCGCAAAGGGCAAGAAAACGGACCGGGGAAAACGGCACAAGCCGGGGAGAGGAAGGGGGGAGCGCGAGGGAGGGAAGAAAAGGAGAGCAAGAAGCAAAGAAAAAGGACAAGACGAGCAAAGAAACGAAAGACGAAGACGGGCAAAGAAAAACGCGAAACGAAGAGGGGAAGGACGGCAGAAAGTAGAGGCAAGACCAAGAGTCAAAGAGAGATCACAAAGACGGGCGCCGCCGGGGGAGCCGGTAAGGGCCGACGGCGGGGGGCAGCCAAGGGCGGGGTAAGAAGAGGGGAGCAGGGGGCCGGGGGCCACAAGGGAGCCCGGGGCGGGATGGGAAAGAGAGAGGGCGGGGGCAGGGGAAGCCCGCCACCGACCCTACGGCCCAGAACGACGGTGTTTGTTGCTGTGTGTGTGTGTCTGTGTGGATCAGGGGAAGAGCGCCCTACGGACGGCCCGGCGCGGCGGCGCCATGCGGCGCCCAAGCCGGGGGGCAAGGCGAGGCGGCCCGCCGCGGCACCGGGGCCCGGAGGCGCGGCGCCGGCGGGGACGCGGCATCCACGGGCGACCCGCCGGGATGGGGAAGGGGCCCAACGGGCCGGGGGCGGCCGGCCCCATCGGGAGGGGCCCCGACCCGCGGGGGGGCCCAACGGACGCCTGGGGATCCCGGCCCGAAGGCGAGGGGGAGGGGGCGGGACGGGCGGAGGCAGAAAGGAGGCGTGAGAGAGGCAGGCCGAGGGAAGGCGGAGAAGCCGGGGGCGAGCGGAATATGAAGGAGAACCCCGGAGGAAGGGGCCGAGGGGGCGAGGACACGCATAAGGCGGGCAGGAGACAGGGGGCGCCCCGGTCCGCAAGGGGGAAGGGGGGGGTGCAGGGACGGGGAGGGGGGACGGCGGCAGGAGACCCCAAGGGGGGGCGAAGCAAAGGGCGGTAGGCCGGAGCCGGCGGGGCAGAAGCCGGGCGAGGGCGGCATGAGGAGACAGCGCGCGGCGGCCGGGCACCACCACGGGGGGGGCCGAGTGCAAACGGGGACCAGCAGCGGCGGCGGGCAGAGGCCGGGCGGCGGGGCAGAGGACGACGCGGTGCGCGGCCGCGCGCCACGTGGGGGGCAGCACAACAGGAGGATGGAGCGGCGGCGGGCAGCGGGGCTGCGGGCGCAGCGTACCCTGCGGGGCGGGGCGAGACAGGGCAGGGGGCCGGCGGGGCTGGGGGCAGAGCGAGAGGCGCGGCCCGCAGGGAGGGGCAGGCGAGGGGGCCGTGGGGTGCCAGCAAAGGGGCCGAGCGAGGATAGAGGGGAGGGGGGAGGGGGACTGCAGCGCGCGACCAGAGGAGACGGAAGAGAAAGCGGAGAGGCGGGGGGAGGCAAGGAGGGGGCGGGGCGTTTAGCGCTAGCGGCGAAGGCGGGGCCCGAGACGAGGGCTGGGGGAGGCGGGGGCGGGTAGGCGGGGGACGGGGCGGACCGGAGTCTGTTGCGAGGCGACGCCCGGGGTGGAAAAGCGAGAGGCGCGAGCGATGATGTCGGCAGGCTGCCGAAATGGGGGGGCACGGAGAGCGAAGGAGAGGGAGAGAGCCTCAGAGGGACGCTGGTAGGGCAACCCGGAGGGAGGGGGGGACCAGCAGCGCGCGCGGCGGAACAGAGGAGGCGGCGGGCAGGCACAGAGGAGGAAACACCGGAGCGCCGCGAGAGAGGCGGAAGCAGCCGTAGGAGAGAGGGGACCGGGCGGAACCGGAGCGGGCCAGGGGGAGGCGAGGAGAGACGGAGGGGGGGGCGAGAAGGAAGCCTGTGCGGCACCGGAGGGTTCGCGAGCGCAGGGGGAGGCCAGAGCACCCGGACGCGGAGGCGGGAGGGGGTGATTGGAGGAGCGGGGACCGTGAGGAGTAAAGCTGGCAAAAAGGGTGATAAAACAAGGGCGGGGCGCGGGGGACAGCCGGGGCCGAAAACACAGATGCGGGCGGCAGCGGGCACGGGGAACGCGCAAAGGGCGATGTGAGGGGGAGGGGGCCAAAGGCGGAGGAAGGACCGCCGCTATGCGGCAAAAAGCCGAGAAAAAAGGCGCGGCGGGGCCGAGGGCGCAGTGGCTCGAAGCAGGGGTGAGGAAAGAGCGCCAGCGGGCGGGAACGAGACACAAGAGGCGAGACGACCGCGTTGCGAGACACTGAGTTGTGGGTCAGCAGAAGGCGCGCGACGGCGGGGCCCGCGCGGAGCCACGCGCCGGCCGTGAGACGGGTGCAGTCCAGGCGGGGGAAGAGGGGCGAGGACGCAGCCGGGAGGGGGCTGGCGAATGCAGGATGACCGGAAAAGAAAGGGAAGGAGCAACATGAAGGAGAGACCCAAGGGAGGGAGGGAAGGGGGAGTGAGGGCCTGAGAAAGGATAACGATGGGCGAAAGCGGGGGAGGGGACCACACAGAGGCGAGCGGGGACGGGGGGAGAGGGGAGGCAGGGGAAAAAACGAGGTAAGGTAGATGCGGACACCAGGAAGAGGGGGGCGTGGCAAAGAGGCAAGGCAGAAGCATACAACTGGCAACAAGGCAAGGAGATGCGACGGGTGAGGTCGCGCAGAAGCAGGGCAAGAGGTCGCGGGGGAAGAAACAGCGTGGGACGGAGGGGAGGGGAAGGAGGGCAGGGGATGGCGCCAGCTGACTGAGGGGCCCCGGTTGGCGGGCGCCAAAACGAAAGCGCGGGAGAGAAGCAACAAAAGCAAAGACAGATGGCCAGAGGGGGATAAGGCCCCGCAGGGCCAGACCCACGAAAGCGAAAAAACCAGCGAAAAAGCACGGGACAGGAAAAAAGGCCCGACCGCGGGAGAACGAGAGGCCCGGCCGGGAGGCCAGCAGAGAACGAGCACAATACCCCCGCGGGGCGAAAGAAAGACGAATGAGAGGCGAAGGACGAGACATGGAAGGGACAAGGCGGGGAACCAGCGCAGCGGGAGAGCCACGAGGGAAAGATACCACCACCAGGGGCCACAGCCGGGCTAGACCCGCGAAGACGCCCCACCAAGGCAGACAAGCCAGCGCCGAGCGGGAGGACCGGGGCCGGCCTGCACAGCAACAAAGGGACCAACGAGTCGTGGCTCCAGTCAGGAGGGCACCGGCCACTCAGGCCCCCCTGCCGACAAAGGGGCGAAGGCAGGGGCGCAGCACACAAGGCAAACCAAGGCAAGGGCCGCGGAACACAGCGGGGCACACGCCGCGAGGGCGAGGACGGCCCGGAGGACAGGCCAAAGAAGAACAAACAAGACAACACAAAGCGCACACCACGCACAGCGGGGTGCGAAGCGAGGCGCGCCAGATAGGAAAGTGAGGCGGCGAAAAAGAGCGGCATCAGCGCCAAAACGGCGCGCGCAGGCAACAATAACTGAGAGGGCAGCCGCTAGGCCAAACAGAGAAGGACAAAGCAACCTCAAGAGCAACAGAAACGGCGATAACTCGGCACCAGCACATAAAACCAGAGATCCCGAAGGGGAGGAGCGCGACGAGTGGGCCAGCAGCAATGCCGGGACGACCGCATAGGGAGGGGAAAAAGGCCCGAGCCCGACCAGGCCCGGGCAGCCCGGCGCCAGCGAGGCATAAGTGCGGGCCGGCGGGCACCCAGACGGGGAGGGCGGCGAGGCGAGAGGTCAAAGAAGGCCCGGGCAAAAGTCGCGAAACAAAAGAGCAGATCGAGACCATGCCACACCGCCGAGACGCATAGGAAACAGAACACGGCCCAACAGAAGTAAGGAAACAGGACCGAACAAGCATAGGACCAGGGTGGCCGGGACCCGAACAACGCGTAGGGGCGTGGGAGGGTAAGTGGAGAAGGAGGAAGAACAGGCCAAACAAGAAACAAAAAAGGGACCCTCCGTAGGAGCCCCGCCCCCCGCGAGAGGCCAGAAGGGACGCGGGAACACCCCGGGGGACGAGGCCCGAAACCTAAGGTAAAGCAGGGAAGGAAGCTACCGAAGAGAAAGGAAAGTAAAGCACATACAAGTAAGGAGCGGAGCGCCCACCAGAGGCCAGGGGCCCGGAGCCCGAACCCAAAGCCGGAGGCCGAAAAGGAAAGAGCAGGGAGCCCAGACCTGAGAGGATAGGAGACCCGAAAAGACGCGGCCAGAGAGAGAAAGAGGGAAAGAGTAATAAGGCACCCGAGAAGCCCCACCATCAAGAAAGGCCCGCACCACTACAAGAATGCGGCCAAGAAGGCCCGTAAGAGAAAGCAAGAAAGAATGAAAGCCAGCAAGAAAGACCCGGCAGAGCCAGGAAGGAAGGAAGGCGAAGATAGGAACCCAGGCGCAACAAAACCGGAAGGGGCAGAGCGTAGGAGGGCCCGCGGAGTGAGGCCGGGAGGCGGGCCCAACAGAAGGAAGAGCCAGGAGAGGACAAAGGGGGCCAAGCACAAGAGTCGAGGCTCCAAAGAAGCCGGGAGGAGGGGGCAGCAGGGAGGGGAAAGGTGGCGGAGGAAAGAGAAACACTGATGGGGAGGAGAACGGAGGCCGGAAAGCCGGGCGAAAGAGAACGCGGGACGGGTGGTGGCGAGAGGTACGGGAGGAGGGACGCGGCGGCCCAGGGGAGGGGAGGTATGACAAGTGCGGCCGAGACCGAGAAAGAGGCCACAGCCAGAGCAAGGGGGGCGAGGCGGCAAGGCAAGAAAAGGCGGAAGTGCGGGACACGGGGGGAAGAAACCGGAGGGCGAAGGGGGACGCAATGGAGGGGCGAGGCGGGGACTGGACGAGCAAAGGGAGGCGGGACGCGAAGCAAGCGGACGGGCGGCAACCGGAGAGGGAGGGCGGGGACGCGGGCGGGAAGCGAGGAAACGATGAGCCGACGCGAGGATGGGAAGAGGGAACAGCGAGGGACGGGAAACGACGAGGCGGCAGCAGGGACAAAGGGTGCGCGGGAGGAAGGCGAGGGGAGCCAGCGGAGCGGGAGGGAGTAGCAGGGGGGGCAAGAGGCGCGGAGGGGAACGGGACGAGGGGCAGAGCAAGGGGGAGCAGCAGCCGAGGGGGAGCGCAGGAGCAGGAGAAAGGGGGGGCGTGGGGCCGGGGGGACCGGGGCGGGAGCAAGGGGCGGGCGCGGGCCGAGGGGGAGCCGGGGAGCGGACAGACGACGGGGGGGGCGGGCGGAGGCAGGGAAAAACCCGAAAAAAAGAAGGGCCGGGGCAGGCGGGAGGGGGCGGGAAGCGGGAGACAGTGGGCGCCAGGGGCGGGAGAAAAACAAGCCCGAAAAGAGGGGCCCGGGGCCCGGCAAGAGCAACGAGACCGCACACCGCCGAAGCACCAGGAGGACCAACAAAGGCGAGGCAAGAAACAACCCCAGCGCAGCCGGACCAGAGCCAAAAGCCGAGTGACGCGCAAGCACGGCGCAACAGACCCGGGCCAGCAGGGCGCAGGCGTGGGACCCAGCTGGCATAAGGAGAGAACCGACGAGCGCGAGAAAGCACGAGGGAGGGGGGGCGGAAGGGAGAGGGGAAGAGGGGGGGGAGAGCGCGGCGGGGGCGGGCGAGGGAGAGAGGAGACACGGGCGAAGGCCGGACGGGCAGGGAGAGAGGGAGCGGCGAAAGGAAGGGCAGCGGGCGGGGGGCGGGGGGAGGCGGGAAAGGCGGGAGGCGGGGGGAAGGGGGGGGGGGAGCCGCGGGGGCCGAAAGGGGGGGGAGAGGGACAGGAGGGAGGGGGAGGGGACGGAGCAAAAAAAGCAAAAAAAAAAGCAAGAAGGGGAAAAAAAAAAAAAAAAAAAGAGAAAGCAAGAAAGAAGAAGAAGAAGGGGGGGAAAGAAGGGGGCGGGGAGGAGAAGGGGGGAGGGACAAGGAAGGGGAAAAGGAGAAGGGGGGAAGGAGGGCGGGAGAGAGGCCGAAGGGGGGGGGGACACGGGAACCCCGGGGACAGGCGAGGGGCGCGAGCGGGGAGAGGGGGCGGGCAGAGCGGGCGGCCAGACGGCCGGCGGGGGGGCCGGGGGCGGGCAAAGCGGGGGAGGGGCGGGGCGCGGAGGGGCCGGGGCGGGGCGGCGGGCGCGCAAGGGAGGACCGACCGCGCGAGACACCCGGACGCGCAAAGGCGGGGGAAGGCGGCCAAGGGACGGGGGCGGGAACGGGGAGGGGGAAGCCAGAGCAACGGGAGGACCGGACGAGAAGGGGCCGGGGGGAAAAAGGCGGGGGAGAGGAGCGGCCACCGGGAGCGAGACACGAGGGGAGGGGGGGGGGGAAGAGGGGGAGGGCACCCCCAGAGCCAGAGAAGCCACCGCGGACCGGCGAGCGGAGAAGAGGGAGGGAGCGAGCCAACGGGGGGGGGCACGAACGGGAGGACGCACACAGCGGCGGGGGGAGAGAGGGGGGCCGAGACAGAGGGCGGAACAAGGGCCAAACCGGCCCCAGACAGGAGAACAAAAAGAGAGACAGGGGACGCAAACGAAGGAAGAAGGGGAGCAACGCGCACAGCAAGGGCAACCACCACACAAGGAGGAGCGACACCGGCCACCAGCAGGAAGAGGGGAGCCGAGAGGGCAAAGGAGCCAACAGCGGAAGGCGGAGGGAGGAAACAGGAAACAGGAAAGGCCGAACGGCACCGGGGAGAAAGGACCAACCGAAGACAGAGAAGGGGAGAAGGCGGGGGAAACGCGGGGGAGGGAAAGCAAGAGGCGGAGCGGACAAAAAGGAGGCGAGGGGCGACAGCGGGGAAGGGGGAGGCAGGAGCGGGGGGCGAAAAAGAAAGAGAGAGAGAGGGGCGAAGGGGAGGCCCGAGGAAGCGGGGGGGCAAGGGAGGGAAGAGAGGCGCCGAACCGGGCGGCCGAAAGCGGGGGGCGAGGAGCGGGAAAGAAAAGGGCAGGGAACGGGGCAAGGAACAAAGGCAGGGGAGGAGGACGCACCAAACGAGAAAGAGGGGGCGGAAACAGGGAGACAGACAGGAAGAAGAGACAAAAACGGGGCGCGGGGCGGACAGGGAGGGAACGGAGAAAGGCGAGGGGGAAGGAGGAGGCAGAGAGAGGACACCCGGGAGGAGGCCGGGGAGGCGGCACGGGAAGCGGAAGGCAAAAAGCAAAGAGAGGAAAAGGGACAAGGCCAACAAAGGGGGCAGCAAGAGGGAACAACACGCGGGCACCCCGCAAAGGCGGGAGGAACAGCCGCCGCCAAGAGAGGAGGCACGAGACAAAGGGAAGGAAAAGGGAAGGGAGGCAGGGAGGCCGCAACAGGAGAGAGAAGGGAGGGGGAGAGAGGGAAGGGAGAGGCCACAGAGCGCGGGAGGGCCCGAACAAGAGGGGAGGGAAGAGAACAAAACAAGCGGAAAAGGGGCGGCGGGGCGGGAAGAGAAGGCGGAGGAGGAGGGAGGGGACCAGGGGGAAACCCCCAAGGAACAGGGGAGGAGAGAACCAGGCAGACCGGGAGAGGGGAGGCGAAAGAGGCGGAGAGGGAGGCGAGGCAGACGGGGGGGGGAAGGAGGGGGGAAGGGGCACCCGGGAAAAGAAGAGGAGGCGCAAAGAGAAAAGAGAGGGGGGCGAAAGGGGCAAGGAGAGAGAAGGCGGGGGCGAGGGGAAGAGAGGCGAGAAGGGGCACAAAGGGGGCGAGGGCAGCGAGGGGGAAAGGGCGCCAGGGACCGGGGCGGAAGCAGCCGAAAGCCGGAGGGGGGCAAGGGGGAACGGAGGCAGGAGAAGCGAGAGGAACCAAACAGGAGCGGAGGCCGGGAGCGAGGAACAGGGACGCGGAGGAAAGCGGGGGGGAGAAGAGCCCAAGGCAGGCGGCGCAGAGCGGGGAGGGAGACCAGGGCAAGGGGACAGAAAAAGAAGGGCGGAGGGAAGGAGGAACACGGAGGGGGGCACAGGAAGGGAGGGACAGAGGGCGGGCCGCGGGGGGAGCCGAAACAAGGAGAAGAAAGGCAAGGGACAGGGAGGCAAGCGCGCAAACCAGCCGCAAAGAAGGAAGAAAGCAAGAGAGAGAAAAGGGGAACCGCCAGGGGGGGAAGGGCAAGCACCACGCCAAGCCGCGAACGCAGGGGGGAGCCAAACAAAGGGACCACAAGCAGGGAGACAGGGGAAAGGACCAGCCCAAGGGGGCAAAGGGCAACCAGCGCGGGGCGAACGAAAAAGGAGAGGAGAGCAAGAGAAAGGAAGGGGAGGCACGGGAGACGCACGGGGAGGCCAAAAGCAGGCAGGAAAAGGCGCGAGAGGGCGGGGCCAGGGGGCGAGAAGGACGACGGGCGAGAGGGGGGAGAAAGGGGGGGGCCGCCAGACAGCCGAGAGGCCGGAAGGGGGAGGGGACGAAAACGGGAGGGGAGAGAGAGAAGGAAGCACGGGAAAGGGAGAAGGCACAGGGGAAAACGGCGGAGGGGAAACACGACGGGCGCAAGGGGGGGGGGGCAAAGGCAAGGGGAGGGGCACGGGGGCGGGGAGGGGAGCAAGGGGGGAAGGAGGGAGCACAGAAAGGGACACGGGGGGGGCCAAAGAGGGAGGAGGGGGGCAGGGAGAGGGGCAGGGGCCAAAGAAGAAAAAAGAGGGAGAAGCGGAGGGGCAGAAGGGGGCGACGGACCACCACAAGCAGCGAAAGCAGGACGGGAGAGGGCCAGGGAGGGGGGGGGGGGAGCCGGAAGCGCGAGGAGGAAAGAGGGGGGGCGGGGGGACAAGGCAAACAAGAGGGCCGAAAGGGAAGAGGGCGCGGGGGGCGGACGAGGACCGAGCCAGAAGGGGGAAAGGCCAGGAGGGGCAGGAGACGGAAGGGCCGGACGGGGGAGGGGAGGAGGAGGAGGGGAGCGACGCGGGGCAAGCACCCAAGAAAAAGGGCCAGGAGTGGGAGAAAACAGAAAGGGAGCGGGCGACGGGGGCGGGCAGGAAGAGGGGGAGGCGAGGACGAAGCCGGGGCAAGAAGGGGAGAAGAAGAGGAACCAGCACACAGGGAAGCCAAGAAGGGGCGAGAGGGGGCGCAGCACAAGGCCAAAAAGGACAGCCGGAAAAGAGCAGGGGGGGAAAAAGCAAGGAAGGCCAAGAAGAAGGCCAGGCGAGAGAGGAAAGGAGGAGAGGGGCCCGGGCAAGGGAGGGCACGGAGCGAAGACAAGGGGAGAAGAGGCGAGGGCGAAGCAGGGGCAAGAAGGGGAGGAGGAGGCGGCCCAACAGAAGGAAGAGCCAGGAAGAGGACAAAGGGGGCCAAGCACAAGAGCGAGGCCCAAAGCAGCGGGAGGAGGGGGGCAGCAGGGAGGGGAAAGGGGGAGAAGGAAAGAGAAAACACGAGGGGGAGGGAGAAAGGAGGCCGGAAAGCCGGGCGAAAGAAAACGCGAGGGACGGGGGGCGAGAGGAGGGGGAGGACGCGGGGCCCAGGGGAGGGAGAGGACAAGGCGGCCCGAGACCGAGAAAGAGGGCACAGCCAG